GAGAAGTGCTCTGGCTATAAGACAGTGAGACCGACTGCTAATCGAAACCACCAGCTGCCCCTCGGGGGCAGACGCGTCTCAGAAACCCGCAGGGGCACTTCCACCCTGATCCAAAGATTTGACGAGAGTCAGAATGGACCCCGTGGCAGGGGGTCTGGTTTGGTTGGAGGCCTCGACCACACATATTGCTGTTGTTGAAATCGGTACCCAGACAGGCACCCCCGTGGCATTCCACCCACGGAGTGGGCGATGAAGATAGGCCCCAATGAAATGGCTACGAGAGGACTTCTGTGGATTCTAGACGTATGTGGCATTTACTGTTCAGACTGACTTTCTGGGAACCACGTCAAGCAAAACACCGCAGTGCCCCTCGGAAGGTGGAAAGCAGCACAGGCAGGGAAACTACACCCCAGGGGGGAGCACATTTCTTAGTGCCCTGCGTATCTTTCCAGAGATTTCCTTTAACATATAGACAAGCCGACAGGGCCATATCCTCTTTTCCATCCCACTGTTTTAAAGTACTTTTATAAAATGGAAATATTGTCTTTACCTAGGACTATTTAACCTACTCTGTCAAGATCTTTCCACTATTTCATAAAAGCTCCCGCATTCCTTTCTAATGGCTCCGTATTCCACTGTAGAACTGTTTCATTATCCGTGGAAGCAAGTCTTCATTGGTAATTAGGTTATTTGCAAATTTCTACCATTTCAGACAGCAGTAAGCAATTTTGGCATCCACCGTTTCACCAAGGTCTGGTGTAATGAAAGTATAAATTACTGGAAGTTGGAAACAGCTGGCTTCTTTAATTATGCACATTCTTTAATTATGACTGACCTACTGCCTTTGAGTCAATGCCATCTCAGTAACCCAGGAGAATAGGGTACTTGCTCTTCAGGGTTTGCAAGACTGTAACTCTTTATGGGAGCCGATGATTTATACTCAAACCAGCAGCACATTAAAGTTCATCTAGATTTAAATATATATATAGGACTTATCAAAAGTCAAGAATTCCTCCCCCAAATATGTCCAAATTGGTTATTTTTTAAACAAATATGATTTTAAGGCAAGTGAATTCGTTCATAAAGATGAAATTAAACTATCTTATAACAATGTGAAAGCGGAGCTCATTAAAATTCACTTGTATGTGCCCTTACACAGTAAAGAGAGTTTAAAAATTCTTGGGGGGAAAAAAACAGGCTGTTTGGAACCCATCTCTTTTCTGTAAGAAAGCTAAGACAAAGTAATTATGGTGCTCTTTGTTTAAATAAATTGTTCTATACCTTCAAATTTTGCTTTGACCGTCAAAAAAGGTTCATTTAAATTTACACATAAATCTTACCGAAAGCTTCTGTAGCTTGTATTCCAAGTTCTCTTTGGTTTCTGGTGAATCAAAACACTCCTTCAGGTTCATGTTCATGTTGTTGAACCAGTCATCAAAGTTCTTGCACTGATCTGCAGGGGGAAAATGTTTTTTTAAGATGGGGTGGAGGAGAGAGATTCCCTCAAAGAGGACTACATACATACATCTTGTTAAAGACAACATTTAAAATGTGCTTCCTATGTGCTCGTAAAAGAAGCTAGGACATAATTATGATGTATTTTCTACACCAAACCTCCTTTCAAAGCTACAAGACTGGGAAGGGCAGTCTGCTCACTGGCACACTCCCAGAATCACTGGTCACAAGAAGTGGGTCCAACACCCAGTTTGGCAATTTTCTTTCGTGAAATAAAAAATAGAGTCTTGAAAGAAATTAGTGTTATTGGTGGCAGCCATAGATCAGTGAGTTGTGCCCCAAAATGTGAGTTCTGTATATTGTCTTCTTAAAGAAGCTCTATGCAGCCCACTCAAAGTTGGGCTTGATTAGTGTTTGCATTCTCAGCACTACAGTCATGCCTCAGGCTGCCCAGAAACAGCAAAGGAATCCCCACACCTACCATTCAATAAAGTAGAAAAGTGATCTTGCAAGACACTTTTTTTGGTATTAAATAAATCACTGACACTTTCATATTGCTTCTTTAATTCAGAGAGCTCAGGGGTCAAACAGCCGATTTGATTCTCAAGTAGTATCATGCTGTGCTTCTGCTGGAGGATTTGCTGTTGTATTTCCTGAGTAGAAACAAGCAAGGAAACAGCAACCATCAATCAGTCTTAACGTGGCAGATCGACACCAACTATAGTCTCTTAATTGCTTACATAAGAAGAAATAGATAATGTTCTGTGGAGTAGATTTACTTTCTCTTGGCTGCTAAGTGGATAAGGTCGCACAATTTAAGATCCAATCATTACTGTGCACAAGCAACCCACATGACCTGCTTTTCTGAGTCCTGCCGCCGCCCATCTTCCATGCTGGCTATCCTAAACAGGTGAAGACTACGTATGCCAAATAAGTGTGAAGATCAAACTGAATCAGAAGAGAAGTGTCGGGCACCTCTAGTTTAGTGAAGATTTCCAAGCTGTCTGAAGGAGATAGGGCATGTAAGAGCGATTCCGTCATTCCAATCTGAGTTTTGGCCTGGTCCAGGTCTTCTCGTAGTCCATCTGGGTTACCACTGAAGGCGCAGCTCCGCGATTCACCTGCTAAACCCATTTTCACATATTCCATTTTCTTCAGAATCAAAGACTCCATCATCTGAAACCATGACACACACACAGAGTCCTATGAGAACCTTTATTTAACTCGTTTTCAAGACCAGATCGCGAGACAGCAGCTTGAGACTTCGATGCACGCAGAAATGAATTCTTCTCTACCACTCCCAATATCGAAAACTCTTTTGCACTCAAGATGCATCAAATAAATGTAAAGGGAATAATGATTCTAATTTTACTTTAGAATTAAGATTTAGGATTTGTGGTTTATGAACATTACAGAGAGGATATGAATAAAGTTCCATTGGAATTTTCAACAGAAATGCTCTTACCTGCAACTCAAGAGGTATTTCACTGGTTTGAAGCAGAAATTGTACTTCAGCCACTCTCTTGAAAACTTCCGGAAGTTCTTGTTCTTGGGCGTGTAGATCTTCCTAAAACACATAAAGTTAAAGAAAAAAATCCTTTTATTTCCTTCTTTTCTGGCACCGAGAATTACGATTGTTGGTATATAGAAACTGAGAGCGCCTTTTAGGTTACTGCCAATCATTTGCTTTTTGACAGTTCGGTGAGTTCAAACCCAAGTGCCTCCAGCTGTCAGGCAAACGTTGTAACTGAGAGAATTGCTCTGGCTATAAGACAGTGAGACCGAGACGATGTGTTTGCGAACTTGCTTTGTGACACCCCCCCCAAAAAAAAAAGCATTCACACTACCACAGTCATAATGAAGAGTTGCAATACAGATGGAAAGGCCCACAAGCCTGTAAAATTTACTATCTGATCCGTTAGGAAAAGGTTTGTTGACCTCTCACACCTAAACAGACCTCTCCTGAAAACAGGTTTTCATTCTGATGGGGCTTCTGCTAAGAAGCCTTAACTTTTGGGGTGAACTCATTTAGTCATCTAGTAACACCTAGGGACTCGGAGCTCAGGATAATAGTTTTAAAATAAAAACGAAAGTAAGCAGGCATTTGTGTGCACAGTGATCCAGGATTTGCCCAGTCATGGTCATTTTATTCAGGAGCCCATAGGTTCCAGATTGAGGATAGCTGCTAGCACCTCTCCGGATATTACAAAAGGAACAATGAAGGGGCCAAATCTTACTCAAGGGATAATTCGAGAAAGAAAATGTTTCATTTTTTTTTTTTTTACTTGTAAGAGAGCAACCTTGACATGAACACATCAGCTGTATATGAAAAAAACATATGTGTGCATGTGTGTATATGTCTATAGATATGTGTACAAAACCTTTTTTTTTTTAATTATGCTATACCAATTGACTATGGTCCTGAGCCCTCAGGCCCAGCATGATTCCTTCAAAACGTTCCCATAACCTTGGCCCCTGTACGCTCCACTACATTAATGGCTGTATTTATAGCAAAGGTAAAATACACATGTATCAACATCCTCTGGTAGACTGATACATTCATGAAGATCTACGCCGATTTGTGGCCTTACATTTCTCTCCATTAAATTACCTTCAGCCTTTTACTCTCCTCTTCGGTCAGGGGTAATTTCACTTTGTGAAGGGCCTTTTCAATCCACTCATCGATGACATTTCTTACAGTCAAAAGTTTCTCCCATAAAGCCAGAGCTCGACCAAGATTTTCATAGCAGTCTTCTGTTTTCTCATTTATCTGCCATAATTGAAGAACAGTATAGCGCATTTAGGATGGAAAGTATGTAGGATATATTTTCAAACACTTTTTATTTTTAAAATTAAATGCTAGTTTATCATGATTGGGTACTAATTAGCTTTCTCCATGAATGAAAGACTGCCTTTAGCCTACCATGCATTCCTTTCTTCAACACACAAAACCAAATTTGCCTGATTGTCTGCAATGGATGTGAAATTGAAAGTTATAGTCTTGCTAATTTCAAAAACACAATTTTTCATAGTTGTTTTTTAAAGTTGAGGTGAAAGTATAGCACAGACTAATTCTTAATTTGTAATTTGTAGGAAATCTTATGCACTATTCAACTAAAAATGTGTAACATAAATATATAATTAAATGGAAATACCTTACATGAATGTGTAATATTTATTTTAAATAAAATGAGTTTATATACCTAAAAGATTAGATACATTTACTAGTAGTGCCGGACTACAGGGTTACTTACTAAGTTATGTATTTAATATCATTTAAATGTTTTTATAAACAGCATTTTTGAACTTTAAAATTAGATAAAAATACACATTTGATCAATCAGTTTAAATGTCATAAAAGCAGACAGAATTACTGTTCAATTAAATTATTACATACATCAAGCCATCTGTCCACAATGCTATTAGCTTCTTTCTCAAAAGGTGGTTCCTCAAAGGTGCTCATTTTATTTAGATGGAATTGTAGGTCTTTGCAGATCTGGTTTATCTTGTCTACATCTTCTAAATGTTCATTAAATTCTTCTTTGACAATTTCGATCTGAGAAAAGCAGAAGACATCTTTGATACATCGAGAAACAAACTGATAAGAACCACAACTTTATTATTAATTATTCATTTAAAAACAATATCATAACAAAAAGTAATTTCCTATTATAATTTTCTTTTTTTAAGAAGAATTTTTTGTCTACTTCCTCCATGAAAAGTTTATAGAATTGTAAGCATCTGATATAATGTAAATCCTTAAACCAAATATCTTCCTACTCTGCATGAAGTGCTTATAATGATCTAAATTCATGTCTCTAGTTCATGTGAATTAACATTCACACACACATACTTTTATTTACATTTCAATAATTTTGGGAGAGCTCCTACAGATATCATAACATTCCATAGACAGACACACACTTTTAATGGTATATAAAAAAATTCCAGTTCCTAGATTCCTCTAAAAGGAATCATTTTTATTATAGCTAAAACCTAAGTTCTTGTGTCAAGAGAACAGTCAAAATTTCCATCAAAATCTGTAATATTACTGATATTTTAACTTTAAGCTTCTATTCTAAATCCAACATCATTTCTAACATGGCAAGTAAAACTCTGCTTCAGGAAAAGACTGCTGATCTTGAACTGCAAAATAAAACCCTGATGTTACCTACTGCAAGTTTAATGGCTCATTCAACTTACCATTTTACACAAATATTTTAGATGATTGTATGAAAAAGGAGAAGAGATAACTCACGATCTAAATCTCAAAATTATATACCCTAGGTGGACTTCCATTCCCAGCAATATGGAAGAGACATAATTTTCCCCATTCTTTCCGCTAAATGTAACTACAAATACTGGACATTACATATGAGACAAACTCAAGAACACTCAGAAAGATGAAAGTAAGGGAGACAGGCTGAGGCCATCGGCTCTATGAGAAATGACAGTGATGACATTTGCTGCTTGCCTTCAATGTCTCAGACGCGGTGCTAGAGAGATGGCAATCTGGACGCACCATCAAATACAGACTCCAAAGCCCCTCAAACATGCCTGCTCTCTCTCATCAAAGACAAGGAAACGAGGCAGTCTAGCAAGGCAGAAACAGTTACTACATAAATGCTCATTAAAGTAAAGTATCACAGAAAAGCTGTGGAGTAATTCCCACCCATTCTACAAAAGCTAAGTGGTAGACCTAGATTCCACCACTATTGTAACAGCTAACTCCACACTCTACCTTACGGGGTGCTGTCAGAAAAGGTCAGATTGAGCTGAAACATCATCCCCACCAGGCAGTATCAAATCCCTGCCCTGGGAGCAGAGTGGGATATGCCTAGGGGTGCTCACAAGGTCAGCAGTTTGAATTCACCAGTTGCTTTGATGGAGAAAAATGAGGCTTTCTTCTTCCATAAAGATGTATAAGTGAGAAGGACTTTAAGTATTTGCTAATAACGATCAAAGGTTGCACCCTTCAGTCTAGATTACAGCTCAATGTAAAGAAGACCACTTATTACCAGTAGGTAACATCATGGTACATGGAGGAAAGTTTGAAGTTGTCAAGGATTTTGTCTTGCTCCTCAACCAATGCTGATGGAAAGAACAGTCAAGAGATCAGGACACATTGTATAAGTAAATCTGTTCAAGTGTTGAAATGCAAGGAGGTTACTTTGAGGACTAAGGTGCCCTAAACCCGCGCCGTGCTATTTCAATGGCCTCATAAGCAGGTGAAAGTTGTACATTAAATAAAGAAAACCGAAGAAAAATGGATGCATTTGAATGATGATGTTGGCAAAGAATACTGGAAGTACTCTGAAGTTGACTGTAGTAATAATAGGACAACTCTTCTTAATATGACTGAACTATTGAATTGGATGACAGGTGAACTATATGCCAATAAAACTGTCCCCGCCAAAAAGCGCTGTGGACTGCCAAGAGGGCAAACAGCCTGTCTCGGAGGAAGCACAGACTGAATGCTCCTTAGAGGCAAGAAGGCAAGACTTCATCCAACTTCCCTTTGGACACGTTATCAAGAGAGACCAGCCCTGGAGAAAGACGTCATGCTTGGTAAAGAAGGGGGGGGGGTAAAGAACACCCTGGACGAGGTCGACTGGCAGTGGCTGCAGCAACAGGCTCATCTATAAGAACGCCTGCGGGCCGGCACGGCCCGTGTGTCCTTTTGTGGTATACAGGGTCACTGTGAGCCGGAAGCCACTTGTCAACACCTAACAACAACAACAAAGAGTTCAGCTGCAGAAACCCCAAGAGGCAGTTCTACTCTCTCCTATCGGTTCACTGTCCACCAAGAACAACGCGATGGCAGTGGGTCTGAGTGGTGGCAACAGAAGTGACAGATGTAATTACAACAAGGCAGCCAAGGAGGAATTCCTAGACACCAAATAAGGAGCCAACACTCTCCCCCCTGTCTCAGGAAAAAGGAATCCTCATATTGGATGGCAAGAGAGGCCAAATGGAAATGCTAACATTCTACCTGCACTTGGCATGAAGGAAGCAGCATCAGCCTTCCCTGGATGGAGCGGTATCCCAGAAAACCAGCTAAAGGGTTTGCTGTGTTAAAATAGGATCCAATTTCACAAATCAATATCCAAGATATCCGAGTCTCAATAGAAAAAACTCATTCATCCTACCGAAAACCACATAAATCGCAAGCAAAATAAAAAAGATAATCAAAAGATGCCAACACCAAGATGACAGAGATGATAAAATTATCTAGAAAAGATTTCCAAGCAGCCGTCATAGCCAGCCCCACTATGAGACATGATGCCCCTCACTGACCCATGGCCCTGCGGGGGACAACACCAGTGACACA